TAATTTTTCTTCACATCACTTCTTTGATTTTAATAATAGCTATGCGGTATAAAGCTGTCATTATATGTGGTATCAAAATATGACTTATTATAATGTTATTGGGAAATTTACATAAACGAAAAACAATAGAAGTTTAAAAAATAACAAATTAGCTCACACATAACAAGATGATTCCAAATGGTAATTTATTACACTTCACAATAGCAGTTGTTTTTGGGCACAAAATGAAATTCGATTATGATGAAATTTGATATTTTCCCCTTAAAATATATGTACTATAAAGAACTATGCTTGCTTGCACTTGTGCCTCCATTTTCAACATTCATTTCTTAAAATTAAATGTTTATTTTGAGTCAAATTTGATAGGTAAATAATATGGAATATTTCGTATAACTCTTCTGTTCAGATCTATTTGAACGTAAAAAAATTTGATTAAATATAATTTTTATAAATAACATTAAAAATTAAAGAATTGTTATAAAAAATTTGGTGAGTTCACAACTTCAGCTTAATATTTTCGCTTACCAAATAGGCTAAGTGTAAAACATTTAATAAATTTAGATTCTAATAGTTTATCTCAAAATGTAGCATAAAAAGGTAGTATCACAGAATTAAGTTATAATAAAGAAACAACTCCTTTCGTTTTAAATCTCTTAATTCAGAAAACAATCAAAATCAAAAATGTAATAATATAAGAGTAAAAATAAATAAATATTACAAGTATATTTGGGATATACAGTAGAGCGCCGATTATCCTAACTCTTATTATCCGAAAGTCCAATTATCTGAACTGTGTCTGAATTCGTTTTTTTTTAAAGTTTCGAATACTTTTTAACCTATCGACAATTTTTCTAAATTGAGAAGAAAAAATAATACCCCCTACATCTGATGACCATATTTAATTTACAACCTTTTTAGCAGTTTTCTTATAGTAGCCATACATACATGTATTGTGATACAGTTAAACCTACATACCCCTTTACAACAGAAAATTCTCTTCCAAGAATGCGAGCTTCATTTTGATAGTCTACAATGGTTGGAATGCAGAAGGAGTTTATGAATTGATAAGTTCTGAAGTTCTATGATTGGGGAATGGGTAGTTGTAACTTATGGTTAATAATTAGTGATTACAGTGCTTGGAATCTTAAATCTTGGAATAAAACTCTTAACAGAAAAACAAACAAACTGAAGTTTCTGAACCAGTAGATCTTTCGGATGAAAATGATGAAATTGTTGCTGAAATTTTGAATGAAAATCGGAACTCTACAGACGAAGTGAAAGAAGTAGGCGATCAAGTTCAAGATAGTGGACCTTCTCATATAGAAGCATGCAATCCATTAGATTTCGCAATGAATTGGCTGGAACGTCAAAATGATGTTGATCCAGTTCAGTTGATTTATTTAAAAAGAATAAGGGATAAATGGCTGCTAAAAAACGCATCTTCTTTGAAACGAGATCTTTGCTGGATTTCTTTTGCAATGGAAAATAATGAAAATTTGCAATGGAAAATAATGANTCTTTGCTGGATTTCTTTTGCAATGGAAAATAATGAAAAATGTTTTAAAATCAGTAATTGACAAAAAAATTTAATTAAAAATATTTAAAAATTGAAAAAGGAAAAAAAATTTAAACACGCCAGAGCTATTTTAGATAGTACTGCCAGTCCTAAGCCTACAAAAGGTGTGAAGGGAAGTTAATGCATCAATAATAATAATTTACACTAGATTTTAAACAACTTTCCAACTATCCGAACTTTTCATTATCCGAACCATTTTCGGTCCCGAGCAGTTTGGATAATCGGCGCTCTACTGCATTTATTCTGATCAACCTCCATATTTGGGATACAAAATTATTTTACAGAAAACAATAACTTAATAACTTTTATTAATTTTATAAAAAATTATGGGAATTAATGTGGAAAAACTAGATTGTACCATGTGATTTACTGACTAAAAAAGAAAAAAGACTGACAATGGAAAACTGCTATATCATCATTAGATATTCATACAAAGTTAAATTATACTGGAAAATCTCACAATAAACTGTAAAATAGGAATATTTAAATTGAAACAGTAAAATTTGGCTTTTATTGGTTATAGGGACAAATGCTTGTGCTAGTGACTCTGAAAAACAGTCACCAAAACATGTTTCCTTAAACTGTTACCTAGATGTTTAAAATTAACAGGTATAACACATTCAGAAGTATGTACAGTTTTAAAAAAAAAATGGATCACCCTCAATAACTTTTGATTTAATCCGATCTTCACGTTTTAGGACTCAATCATAATGGTTCGAGGAGGTGGACTCAGTGCTAATTAATGGATGTTTCAGAGGATGTTTTAAGTTACGAAATCTGGCACAAAACGTATTTCTTTGAATAAATATACCTTTTTTTCAAAGGATTTGGATTTCACAACATTCAATTATCATATTTGAGACCTCCTCGAACCATTAAGATTGAGTACTAGAACGTGAAGATCTGATCATTAGATCCATAGTTATTCAGGGTGGTATGTTTTTTTATTTTGTGCACTGTACTGACAATACATCTATCATAAAAAAAAGGGGGGAGGTATGAAAGACATATTTATATAAATTATATATATAATATGTATATAATTATATTTATATACATATAAACGTATTTCTTTGAATAAATATACCTTTTTTTCAAAGGATTTGGATTTCATAACATTCAATTATCATATTTGAGACCTCCTCGAACCATTAAGATTGAGTACTAGAACGTGAAGATGTGATCATTAGATCCATAGTTATTCAGGGTGGTATGTTTTTTTATTTTGTGCACTGTACTGACAATACATCTATCATAAAAAAAGGGGGGGAGGTATGAAATAATTTGAATACAACTCACTTTTTTTACAGAACAACAATCAATATTTTTAGGAGAGACATCCACATGAAAAGGAAAAAATATACCATTAACAAACATGATACATTCAGCACTAAATATACTGCATTTATTGTTAGTCGGGATGAAACAAATATTCGGCCACTATTTGCTATTTGGCCATTTTGACAAAAATTCATGTGACTGAATGTTCGGCAAGATATATTTTTAACAAAACATTTCTTGAAAAAGTCATTTTTTTAAATATAAAATCATATTTTTTAGTACATATTATAAGAAATAGTCATTACACATATTTTCAAGTTCTAAAATTTATGTTCTGGAAGACAAATGGAAAAACGAAGTTTAAAGAATTGAATTAAAGAATTAGATTACTTTATAGAGAATGACAAGTTTCTGTGCTGTTGCTTTTCTTAAATTTTATTCAGACAAGTCAATTTTGTCGTTTTTTCAAAATTTTTTTGTTTTAAGAATTGAGAACAATTGTTTCTCTTTTTCTGTTTTCATTACAGCACATCAATTTAACAAAATGTTTCTGACAGACTTTATTCCTAAATTGCCATTTTTTTTCCTTGTACAGTATTATAGAAAACTGTGGTTTTAAACACTAAAACTTTGTTTTAAGAACTAAGAACAATTGTTTTCTTTTTCTGTTTCTCTTTTGCTTTTCTGAATTGAAAATTTGATTAATTTTTAATAATGTCTAAATTTATTTATATACAAAAAATAATCATAATGATTTTTGAAAAAGATATTGGTATTTGGCCAAATCACTATTCGTTTCATCCGTACTTATTAACACGGAAGATTTTATATAATTAACAGTTTTGCATTTTCATCATTCCTTATGTGTGTGCCGAATTTCATGGCACACAGTAAATAATTCATTGGTTTTCAGAGATTTTACGAACCTAATTTTGGGCACCAGTGTAGCAGTTTTTGAAAAATGTTCATTAAGGAGAAATTTAAAACATAAAAGTATCAACACAAGAATAGTTGAAATAAGTTTGTAACAATTTTAGTCAAAAATTTCTGATTTGAAATAAATAAGGTAAAGTAGAACAGAAATTACATCACTAAAGACGATAACTATCACCCTTAAATTTTAATTCATTTTTCACTTTAATCAGATTAAATTTTATTCCAAATTAAAACTTTTTGCATAGAAAAAATGAAAGAAAAAATTATTTTTTTGATTTTTCGACTGATTAGATATTTAAACAGCTCAATACTACTGTATACATATATATATGTATATTGAAAAAGAATGCATGATAATACCAAGTTTTATTTCAATATTCTGTAACTTATAGACATGAAATCTTTTAAACCATACTGTCATAATACACATAATTTTTATATATTGCAGTTAGCTGCAATATGCATAAATCATGAGTGTTGCTGGGCCCAACCTTTGAGGGAGACAAAATTAAGTTAAACGATCACAATAGTTTTCTAAATTTCGCACATTAAGGGAGAAAAAATTCCTAAATATGCTCAATATCTGCAAAAGATTCTTTTTTTTAAAAAAAAAACTTTAAAGAATTTAATTTATGAAAATTTTAGTCTTTTTTTTTTACTATATAGTCAGCAATAAACAATGTCAAATAAAATCAGTGATTATTTACTATGTTTTGTTCATCGATTAGGCCTATGGTATCCTAATGTTAGAACAAATGCTCTGAGCCAAAATATGCATATCAACACTCTGTAGAGTAAATTCTGAAGCTCACTCTTAAAAACAATGCAAGAAAGAGTTAAACACCAATCTTTGATTTAATATAAGAAGACACATTAATATTCATAATAAAACATCAATGAGGTATGCATTGTTTCTAGAAAATGTGACATTGTTTTTTGAACTAAAGAGCAAAGTGTCCACTTATTATAAAAACAAATAATCTGTGTTAAAAACACAGATTATATACCAACACTTCTTACAGTGTAAACATTATCCTCAGTTAGAGCGTTAATTCTGAAGCTCATTTTCAATAATGAGGTGAGATAAAAGTTAAACACGAAGTTCTTTATTATACACTGTGTTTTACATTTAAATATATTAATTTGCATTAATGCTGATAATAAAATTGAAGTTCTTATAATTTCATTAAATATTATTAAACTCACCAAACTTTCTGGCTGAAGAATAAGTGACATCTAAGAATACAAAAATATATAGATTAGTCAAATAATAAGAGGGTTTTGTTTCAACAAGCATTTAAATGAAAGAAACACAAAATTTATAACTCTATATAACATAAAATTCTAAAATAGTTCTCATTCACAGAGTTCTTCATAAATGTTTTTAGAAGGGTGGACCATCTTGCCTGCCCATTCATACATAGATAAATCACCACATAGATAAATGCAACCTTCCTGCCCTTTTTGTTAAAATGAATGTTGATAATCCCATTTTGAAAAAATAATGCTATTATTTAATGAAAAATGATGTTATAGTACCAATTTCAGAAGCTTTAGATTGTCACTATTAATGCAAACTATTTTTTATGCTAATTTAATATTTTGAACAATGTTATTTGTATGAAATTCTTTTAAGCATTTATTCAAATATTTGTTTAACACAGGAATATTTGTTTAATATAGGAATAAATTAGTGCCCTTTAAAACTGATGTTGCCTTTAATTTAGGCACAAACAAAGTACCCTGCCTCTTTTTACTTCTAGGGAAATCTTTGTCCTCATTCTTGACGGTGCATTCGTATAAGTCAGAAAATAATATGGTATGGTTATTTAACCCACTGACAGTTCTGCACGTAAAAGTCTCATTTTAGTCTGCTGTCTTCTCCTCATAGAAAACCAATTTTTTCATGTTATTACATAGAAAAATAGTGTATAGAGGAGAAACATTCTCCTAGTTTTGCCCATTTGCTGAATCGCCAATGGGTCAATTAAAAAAGGTGATCTAAATTTCTTTGCTTTTCATCAGTTTGATTAAGTAAAAGTGAATTAGTTAAGGTATTTTTTGCCAGTGAAATATTTCTTTACCCTTTATTTAATGAAATTTAATATTTAGTTATCGTCCTTCATAATTTTATTCTCAGCTATTATTGCAAATCGTTGTTGTTGTTAATTTACGTCGCACTAGAGCTGCGCAATGGGCTATTGGCGACGGTCTGGGAAACATCCCTGAGGATGATCCGAAGACTTCCCATCACAATTTTGATCCTCTGCGGAGGGGATGGCACCTCCGCTTTGGTAACCCGACGACCTGCGTGCGAAGTAGAGCACTTTACGGTATCACAATTTAACGAGGACCAATACCGCACACCCTCGGTCCCTACGCAGACTGATCCAAATGGTCACCCACCCGCACACTGACCGTAGTCAGTGATGCTTGACTTCGGTGATCTGCTGGGAACCGTGTCTTAACAATCAGTCCACTGCGGGACTATTGCAAATTGCATTTAATTAAATTTCTGTTAACAGGTTTAAAACTAAAAGCAATGGCGCTTATTTTATTATAAAGTACTCTTATGATATCATCGTATTATGCAACATTTACAATAAATATGCTTATAATTTACAATAAATATGTATCTGAACTATTCAATCGTATTTTCTTCAATTATAAGCTTCATGCAAAAATTTCTATCCAGTCTAGGTACATTATTGAAATAATTTTCAAAATCATATCTCAATTACTTAAGTCATGCTTGTACTCTAACTTTATTTAATAATGTTACAGATATTTTCATAAAGTCGTAAGAAATTACATGCCACTGCAGTAAGAAGAGTTTTTCTATTGGCCAGAACTGTATTTACTTTGTATTTGTATCTTTCATACAACCCAGATTTTTTGTGGATATGGATTAGGGTAAAATATAAATGAAAGTTTAGACAGTTGGGATTTTTTGAAGCCTCCTTGTATGATATTATAATTTACATTTTTTTTTTTTTTTTAATATTAAAGCTGTTATGGGAATGTCACTCTGAAATATGCATAACATATTGTCTAACATTTAAAAACCAAATTATTATCTTATTTAATCAGTTTTCAATAAATAAAACTCATTATTATAATATAACCTTTTTATACCACAACCTTGAATTGAGTGCAGAATAAAATCTGAAAATCGTTATATGTTTTGCATTCATTAAAATTCCTTACGCTTTCTTTTCTGCCAACGCATTTGAATGCACAAGGTTAAAAAAAAGAACTTTGGTATTAAATTTAATCAATTAATAGCCAATACATTTATTTCTCAACCTTACTTGGCGAAAACTATTTTAACGCACACATGACTCTCACATTTTTGATACTTTGTGGATGGAGGTGTCCTGTTGGGCTTAGCCCAGCAGCCACATCCTCCGGGTCATTTTCTAAATTCAGGTTGTGATATGAAAAGATTATATTATATTAATGATTTTTATTTTTCGAAAAAAGATTAAATAAGATAATACAGTACAGAACCCGTTAACCGGAAATCAGAAAACCGGAAAACCAAAAAACCGGAACGAAATTCGATAAATTTTCCCGCCATTTTAAAAAAAAATTTTTTTTTTNTAAATGTTAGGAAATTTCAGCATGACAGGGACTAATTTAAAAGAAGCTTTAGAGATTGTACATTTCAGGTTCAACACTCACTTAAAATCTTCTATTCCTTACACATACTGAAAAGATAAACGAAATATTTATATCTTATTATTCTAAGTTTTCAACTCAAGTTTATAAAATGATATTTGAATTGCATTTGATTAAAAATTGCATTGTATTAAAAAGGGTTAAGTTAAAGAAAACAGTTCTTCGTAAAAGCTTTCAATTAGAATATTATCTGAAGTAAAAACAAGCACGAGCAGGGTTAACTATAAGTCCTATTAAATTAGAGTTCTCCAAGACTAACATTGAAATGTAAGGTACTTAAAAAAAAAAAAAATTTGGTTCCCAAAAGTTTTTTTTTAATGAGGTTAGAAATTAGTTATTTTAATATCTACTACTGCTAAAAGGTGCTTAGTATTACTAATACATGGTCACCTAATATAATAATAGCTCTTTTGCAGCTACAAAAATGGAATAGAATTAATTTATCTCATGTTTATAAATAATAAGGCGTAGGAAATTTAACACTAAAATTACAAAGTAAGTGTTATGCCTAGCATTTAGTACTGATTAGTGATTCAATATATTTTACACTCTATATATGTTTCATTTCAATAAAATAGTTTTTTTGACAGTGATCTAGTACTGTAAAAAGTTAATTAATATTCAGTTTTACATTCATCATTTTAAAATATTTTTGAATTCCCAATATTTAATATAGTACTACAGAAATGATTAAATTATTTGAGGAAAGAAAGATTTAATTGGCACGCATAGGAAAATTTCGGTATCACCAAGTCTTGGCAAATTCCGGGCAGCAGACGCGAAAAATTAAAATAAAAAGAACATCTCACAGGGGGAATAATTTGGAGGCTTTAACTTTGTAGGCACTCCTGGGAAAATCTCTACATTTGTTTTAAAATTACAAGCTTAAAATTTGGCGATTGTTATTGGCACGATTTATCACGGTTCTTAAATGTCCCCCCAAAAAAGTAAATATAAAATGCTATAAAACAATGTTCAGATTAAACCCCTATAAGCATATTAAAACCGACAGAAGATTACAAAAAATAATTAAACTTGTTTAATTTCAATAACCCGGTAGTATTTTTCCATTGTAAGAAATGAAGTTTAACTACATTCAAATAGCGTAAAAAATAATTATAAATAATGAGGAGAAAAACTTCTTAAATTCTCACCAGTTTTGGGAGTTTGCATTATATTAAAATATTTATTCAATCAAGACATTCAAAAAATACAAAATTTGTAAAATAAAATAAAAAAATCACAAAATAAATATAACCGTTGACTAAAAAATTATATGTCAAATGTAAACATTGCAGAGAAGCTTATAAACAGCCGCTTGGTGGCTGATGGGTCTGTTCCTTGACACGAAATCTCCAATTTTATCTCTTTTAATCCATAAAAGCTACAAGCGCATTTAAATGCAGCGCTTTGAAATGTATCGTCAGATAATCTCTCAAAACTACTATTACTTTAATGCAGAAAAGTTTCGTGTTGTATATCAAAACCATCAAGATTATAAATTATTAAAATGCTGAAAACAAAATTTTTTTCTTATTTGACTTTAATTAATATAGAATAATAAAGAATATGTTCAATATAAATTCTGCCTTAAAGGGTGTATTAAACTGTCATCATTAAACATTCGTTAATTAAATCACCCTTTTCACTTGCAGACAATCCTTTAAGCTGAAGAAGTTCAGGCTGATTTACAGATAGACGTAAAAGCGAGGAGAAGAATTCATGCTTGGAATAAATAGTTTGACCTGGATCATTCTGACCATAAAATGTATCTAAAATCCGTTACTAAATGGATGTTGGAATGTAAGTAGACAGCAAATTTTTCTTCAATTTTCTATTTACTTTTTTAACATAATTAACGAGATAGATTATTTAATAATTAATAGTTAGTATTATAATTATTGTGTAGGTCAATTCTATGAGTTGGAGTAATTCTAGTACTAAATGGGAGAGTGCGAATTAGTATTTAAATTTAGCTCTACAGCTTCAAAGTTCGAAATTAACCAGAGTTGATATTTTGTGCTAACAGGTACAACACCCTTACCCATAAATCATCTTTCAGAAGAAGAGAGAAAGAAATTGGGCAAAATGAAAGAAACTAAAAATGACTAATACAATTAATTAGTAATAAGTATTATAAAACTGCCTTAAAAGGTGGACAATTTTTTATATTAAATTTTCAATTTGTCAATTTTAGAAATTTCTTAAGCTGAGAGCTCTCAGATAAATCAGAAAGGGAAAATTGATTTCTTCTGCTGAAAAAAAAATTGTTTCTACTCTAATCTGATTATTGATAGGAGTGTGGGGGGCGGAGTATTAGATCATGTCAACCTTCATCTATGAAAAGGTACCCCGACATAGAGTCGAGTTAACATGTCTTATATACTAGTGAATTGTAGTTGTAATTTTGTAGTGGTAGATACGCTACAGTACTCCCCCACCAGAATTATAGCTATGATAGAATTCGATGAATGGATGCCACTAGTTGATTCATTGCTGTTTTTGTGCGAAGCCGGGAGAGCTGTATTAAGATCACCGTATTTTTTTGAGTGCTGAATGTGAGAGGTGTATTAACTTCACGGTTGTAGTCGCTCCTGTGTTGCCGTTAGCAGTCGAGTGTATGCAAGCCAACGTTGTGTGTGATCGAGATGAGACTGAGTAGCAACTGCGTGAGGAGGTGGATAATGATGCAGTCACAAGTAGCAAGTCAACTGTTCAATGTGGACCATCCAACGAAGTAGGCGTTACTGCCGATGTAGGCGTATCCAGATCAAAGTGGGCGTTTTTTTTGCCAAGGTAGGCGTGTTCACATAACGTCCGAAGGTCACCAATGTGGGGGGCGGAGTATTAGACCATGTCAACTGTCATCTATGAAAAGGTACCCCGACATAGAGTCGAGTTAACATGTCTTATATACTAGTGAATTGTAGTTGTAATTTTGTAGTGGTAGATACGCTACAGGATTATATTTTGAGGATATTTCCGTATCTTGATCTGGTGTACCAGTGATAATCGCCAAGGTGCAAAATGGATTGAAAATTTAAAATTTTTAAAATAAGAAAAGTGTTTAGGTTTGCCTGAGGGAGGTTGCAAGTTATACCCTTCAAGTAGCTCTGATGTTAATATAGGTTTTTCACGGACTGCTGCCCTGAAATTGCCAAGACTTAATGATTATTCTGCCACAGATCACGATGTGGGAATCTTCTTAATATTTCTGTATTATGATTTAGGCCAAAATAATCACTAAACATCATCATATGAAATTCGTAGAAAACTTTGTAAAAGTGGTCCAATTTGAAAGATACAACTCGTGGCCACTTCTTGGCAAACTTCTGCATGACTTTTTTTTAAAAAAACTTACAAATTTATAATCTATTTGGAGAATATTTTTGTATATTGATCTGTCATGTCAACTAAATTCACCAAGATGTGATTCAACCGAGGCGTTTGCGGAAACACATAAAAAGATAAAGTTGTCAACAGGGATGGGAGGGAAGCTTGGTTAAAGAAGAGTCTGAACAGGAGTTAAGTATCAAATGATGTTGCCTTAGATTCTGAGGTAATTGTTATCATGTCATAATAATACTACTATAATATTTTTATATATTATTCAATATTTAAATTACTTTAAATTATATTCAATTCGTTTTATTAAGTTATTTGAAACTGAAATTTAATGAAATTTTGAGTTAATTAAACGTAGTATTTGTTTTAATTTTCATAGCACTTGAAAATAAAATTAAACTCAAATTATAAATTGCTTGATGATGTTCAATTTAATTTTTCAACCATTCAAAAACAAAAATAATTAATTTTATCAAAATATTATGTTTTATTTTTCAACTTCTAAGTGATTAAAAAATTGAATCATAGCCAAATGTTAAATTAATTAAGAATAGAACTAAATAGAAATAATTTTTTAAAAGGAAGAAACAAAGTGAAGTTAAGTATCTTTATAGTTTAAAAATGAAATGTTTAAAGCACTCTTAATTAAAAATAATAAAGCATAAACTAAGTTTCATCAATGAATAGCTGAAAACACATTGTGAAATTTATTATTTTTAGATAATTAAAAATATATTTCTTTAAACCAATTGAATATATATTTGTGCACCTACTCTACAGTGGCATTAAATTTATATTTCATAGGTGGTGAAATCTATATTGATTAAAAAATGATGTGGCAAATTAATATTAGAAGCCCTCTCTAATTGAGTAAATGCTTCCTATAGGGTATAATATAGCCTACGTCACAGGTTGTGTTGTTCCTACTAAATTTAACCCATGAACGGCATTTTCTCCGAGCCTAACTTCAAGCCACAAATAAACAAACGAAGTGTTCGATCGTTTAAATAGCTGCTCGCCAGATTTTATTGCATTATAAAGAAAAGTTATTGAAACTAAATACAACTAAATAAACAACAACAACTAAAACAAATAACAACAACTACTAATAACAATAACTAAATAAACAACAACTAAATTCCATTCGTTTTGCATTGCGTCATGTGTTGTTCCTACTAAATCGAAGTAGATGTGTTTTTTTCATATTATACCCAATTGCAAACGTTGATGGACCTAGAAATTTGACTTTTTAAAAAAATGGCTAGAAGGGTCAACAATTGGGAAACAGTTTATGCGAAATTGGTGAGAAATCCTTTTTTTATTATTATTATTATTATTTTTAAAATTATTTTTAGCAAATTTAACCATCGACAACTAATGCAAAAAAAAAATTATGATGATGATAGTAAATAAATGAATATTTTGGAACATCCGAACAAATTTTGAACAGCACCTTTCTTTGGTAAATTGGTGTCTTGGGGTAGACAATTTAATCTTCATATGAAAATCTTTTGGAAAAAAATTGTGCTGCTGGATGAGCTCAGTGTCTACCTAACCTTCCTTGGTTATGGGCCTGAGAGTTATATTTAAAAAAGAAATGAAATTAATTTAAGTTATAAATATTGGATCAAAGAGAACCTATGTTAATTTGAGTTTTATATATATTTGGAATCAAATTAAAGAAACAGTAATTATTTATATATTAGGAGTAAATTTAAGAATTTTATGAATCCCTTCTTTAATGTTCAGTTATATCCATTTAGACTAAATCATAGCAAACTAAGAGCGATATCTAGTTGTATTGTTTCACAACAATGTTTTTGTATCCATTTAAATGGAGCTATAAAACCTAAAACTATTTTTTCAAAATATCTCAAAGAAAACTATCCCATTGTTCCTTTGAAGCAGTGGCTTTCTTTTTTACTGGCTTTAAAATTGTACAGTTATACTGTGTCTGTTGTTTATTGTGCTAAAATTTATTATCTATTGTCTTTTGAAAAGCAATGAAATGTAAACTTAGATATTTTCATTTGTTTTAAACATGCTTGCTATTAGTATGCAGCAGCAGTGTATTTAAAAAATTCTTTTTTGTTCTTTTGTTTTCGTTTTTTACTTTCTTTTTGATCAGAATTTAAAAAATAAAGATCTTTTATCTTACTGATACATATATATATTTTCCAGATATATCTATGCGACAAATATTTTTCTTATTGGTTCAAGGTTCTCTGGTAATACTACCTTATTTTTGTAGAAGAAAAATATTTTTAATTATACTTATATTTGTCTTTTTCTGTTATAAAATCCCAACCACTTTTAAGACAAAGATATTGGATTGCTTCCCTGTTTATGCTCCCAAATGGGTATGCTGTAGAAATTAAAATATTTAAAAATTGTAAACTATTGGTTTTGTCCTAAACTAGCATTATAATTTTGTCTTTCTACTTTTTGCAGAACATGAAGAGAAATTAATCCTGGTCTGCTGAACAAGATTTATTCCATATGTTGCAGAAGATGTTGATTCAAACACGATGGGCTGAAACATCTTGTAAATATAATATGACTTATTCTGCTGTTTTAAGAATTTAATGTAAAACCTTGCCAGTGTTCACCATAACTCTGATAAATGTTTAAAAATTGTTTACACTGGAGACAGTGGTTTTCTACTTGCTTTTCCATGTTGCCAGTTTTAGTTTATGCTATAAATCTTTTTAAACTTATTGTAAATGAAAATTTTTTTAAACTAAAATTGAACACTTTTAAAGCACATTTGACCACATTTTTTTTAACTAAAATTGAACACCCTTTAAAAAGTGACGGAAGAATTTGCTTTATTCAAAAATAGTCTTAAAAAGTCTCTTTCAAAATAATCTTTATACATTTAAACTACTAGGAGACAAGACAATAAATCTTGTATCTGAAGATCTGTTGCTTATAGATCCACCTGACTCTTCTTTTGAATGAAAGTGATCTCCTGAAATGTCTTTCTTCAGGTCTTAAAAAATAGGTAAGTCACAAGGGGAAAGATCTGGACTGTATATAGGATGTCAAAATGTTTCCTAATCAAATTTAAATAAAATTAAGTTAAGTAGAAAAATATTAAATCAAGTCTTTGTGATTACGGAGAATTTCTTTATGCATATATTCAAATTTTTGAATAGCTATTTCATATATCTGTACATATCATAGCTTCAAAAAATCGTGACTTCTACAGCCTGCTTTGAAGTATCAGTGATTTATATTTTATAACGAACATATCAAATAAATAACCCCCTTCAAAACAAGCACAACATGATAACCGCCATGTGTGATTTTAAATCATGTGTATATACTTTTAAATTGTGTTTGCATTGGTCAGAAAAAGTCTTAAAATTAATCTTTTTTTTTTTCCTCCTGGGGAATTCAAAAAAGACAAACTTTCTTTCAAGAGCCAGATTTTTTCTGTTTTAGTAATAGTAAAAAAATTTCTGCGCTGGTGACAAATTTCAGTAAGTTGTTAGAAGTAGTTTTTTTGTAGTTTTAGTTCTTAGCAGACTTAGTGTTCTTGCATAGATTTAGGTTTCAAAGTGAACCATTTATTTAGTTTGTTATGTTTATTTTTCGAATTTTGCATTTTTGTGGTGCCTCTACCATTAAAATTTATGAAATAAATTTCAGAGATTCCTGTTGGTATGTTTCAATAAAATAAATTGCCATTCTATCCTCAGTTTGTCATAAAAATATCTCTGTGAGACTCATAGAGGTAGTATTTAGAAAAACTATAATGTTTGAGATTTCTTTAGTTATGAATATCCTTTATTATTCTTTCAAAAGTAATTACTTATCCTCCTCTTTTTTTTTCATTTAGTTAATTATGTCTTCTGAGAGTTTGCCTGGACATTCCACTGAGAACAGAAGTATTCCTGATACTGACAAAAGGCCGCAATCATTTTTCTCATCCGTCTTCAGCTCTCACAACACTTTTAATCATAAAAAATTATTTACCACAGCAAATGATGACAAGCAGTGGAAAAGTGAAAAATGTCAAAACTTTCTGAGCTCAGTTATTGGCTCAAACCAAGGCCTTTTATCCGACTTGTCCTCCAAAATAGAAGCTGCACTGAGCTTGAATTTGGACGACTCGGACACCTCTTCCAAAAGTGATAATTCGTGCAAGCATTCAACTGTAGATAATGTTTCTAACAGTAGCTCACAAACAGATGTACAACGTGTCAGCTTCACAAAAACAGAGCGTGTTTCCCGACACAGATACACTAAAAGAAAAGGACACAAAGACCGTTCTGTGTATGGACAGCCTGAAGTAAACTCTTTTGATTTAAAGCAAAAATCTTGGAAGGATTACTCTCAAGAATCTTTGGACACCGTCGACAGTGGGCAGAGTCTCGGTAATTGCAGCAACTCGTCCGCTAATGCGGATTACAAATCGTCTAGGAACGATCCCCTGTACGTATTCCGCCGCCCGGAGTCGATTGGCATCGGTAGCGAATCCGATCCCTGTGAACAGAGTACTGACTCTTCGGATGCAGAGTCTTTAACAGAAAATTTTGGAAAATCTGCATCTGGAACTTCTCTTCAATCATGGGCATCCAGCAATGACAGCCAAACAGATGATCTGACACTGGAGTTTATGAAAATGTTTGTGAGAAAAATTTTCTCTAACGGGTAATACAACCTTTATCACTCTAGAGTAAATGCTGTGTAAGAAATTTTTAGAAATGGATTCTGTAAAATATTGAAATTACAATGGAATCTTTTAGTATCAGGGTTGGCTAGGTCTGAACCAGTGGTTTTTTATACAAAAAAAAACCAACAACACTCCATTTGAAAAAGTGTTGGGGTTTTGGACAGGAGACGTGGGTTTTACTGTCATATACTGTCCTTAACTGACTAAAAGTGTCCCTAAACTGACTAAAATGTCCAAAACTTTGAACATTGGTAAAAGGTAAAAATTCTATATGTGTAACTATTGTACGTATAATAATTAAATTTTTTTAATAAATATTTGATGATACTTTTTATACAATTTGTTTTAACTTATTAAAGGTAAATAATGTAATAGGAAAAGATTTATAACTTTTGAAGCTCCATAATTCAATGTACAACTAAAGTATATACCTTATTCTTTAAGTATGAATAAATATGCTTTTAATACTGATAAATTATGTTTTTGCATATGGATAATTAATACAATATTAAAACTAATGATGAACTTTTTTAATGAAACAGAAACTTGTTGTCATCCTGTTTCTTGTTCCAAAAATTGACCTTTTATTTTTCACAATATTTTTTTTTAAATTGTGATATAATTTGAATTAATGGGTTTTCGACTGTTAAAGACAGTTTTGGACTGGACGGTTAAAACCGTGGATTAATATATTTTGTCCTAAATTTTCCCAACTCTGATTTGAAAAGATTGACAATTTTCTGGTTTTGTCAGACATATTTTTTTATAGATAAACAAAGCATGCATGATAAATCGAGCTACATTTTTATACATGTTTGTAAAAAATTGAATATATAACTGTTTGAGTAGCTAAACTATATTCAGTCATAAAGGAATCAAATTGTTTAAAAGAAAAGAAAATAAGTTTGTCATGATATCTCTATAAGAACAGATCCTTTGGAAGTAACATTAAACATAGAATTTGGAAAAATACATTAGATTTCCAATTTATATAAACGTGCTTTAAAACCTAATATATATATGTATACATACACACAGACAATGTTATAAATTCACTGATTTCTATTGTTATTTAAACAATGGAATCTTTGTAATGTGGGATTTTATGACTATGAAGGTTCTAGAGGTTCTATACCACTCTAGAGGTTCTATAGCAAGAACAAAATTTATTATTTTAATATTTGCATTCAGAACGGCAATTATCCCTCTTGCTGAACTGGCAAACAATTAACATGTCCTTCAACATTGTTAATTAGCACAAATTGATGGTCAATTCTTTTCCTCTACTAAGACCTTTGGAGGTATGCAAAGCTGTTTTCAGTATTAAGCTATAGAGGATTACTGAGAAAATCCATTTCAAACTTAGCCTTGCAGATATGTAAATTTGCTTAGTGAATGATTAATTACAATTGAAAGTTTAACTGGAAATATTTTTTTCAGCACACAGTTTACTTCCCACCCAGTCTAATTACTATAATATTTATTATAATTTTATTACTAATTAGAATTAAATCAATTTTAAATATCTTAGTGGCAAAATCAAGGCGACATTGAGTTCTACTGAACGTTAGAGTTCTTGCATAAAGATTTTTCCTTTGAGAAGTAAAATGTTTTAGTTTTCTTTACTGCAGATATTTAAAAAAAAATATTTATTTTAGGAATAATATTTATTTTGCAGAATTATATTCTAAACATGCCTTTCTCAAGCATCAGAGGGGAAAGAAATGCTCATAATTTTTCTATCCTCATTTGAGAATAAAAAAAATTCGATAATGACTTCAGCTAAAATTTCAAAGGATATTATATTAATATTAAAAAAATCTCAAAATTTTAAAAGATAGTTTGCTTTTAAGGTCATATTCTTTCTTTTATTTTTCTTAAAAGAAAACCTTATTTTATATTTTAACAAAATATGATTGTGAGAGGGGATTTTTTTTACAAATTCAGATTTTAAAGAAAAAATTTTACTGTTTTTTTTCTTTTTACTTTATTTTCAATTTTTTGTAGCTTAAAAAGCCGTTAACGATTTAACATTAGTAAAATATTAATAATTCTCTAGATATAAATGTCCTGAATTTATCATTTAAGTAAAGCTTATTTTGAGATATAATGTGTTTGTTTTATTTTAAATTTTAGCTATCTGTAAATTTCTTTAATTAAAATATTCATTTATTTATTTTATTCTACAAACATTGCCATTTATTTATTTTTAAATGAACCTTTGTATAATGTGTTCTGTTAAAAAATATCATTTTTCCCTCATCATTTTATTTGTTTTTTTTTTTTAAAAAAATACCAGTTTAAAATTCTTCAAGTTTGAAGAAAGCAATTAATTTTTTGGCAAAAGTTGACTGATAAAAGAGTTTAGTATCTAAAATAGTGATACTTATATAGTGATCATCATATGGCAGTACATCATAACCACTATCTACAAGTGTACAATTTTCATGATGAATTGGTATACTAGATTAATTTTTATATTTCAATGACTGTTGGCTTAACATTAATTTAAATATGTTCCAAAATTGTCAAATAAACTAATGTTTACAAAAATTACACCATGAAGGAATTGTCTGAAATTAATGAAGTTTATTCCACCTATTTCTAACTTATATCAAAAACATGGAGAAACGCTTTGTAATTCTAATAATTTAAATGTCTTTTTACATTTCATGTTAGTTTGTTCCAGATTGTGTCTCATATTGTAGAAATTTTCATAAACGTAAGTAGATTATACTAATTTAATGAAGTGTCTCCAATATGCCATCCATGTTAATTTTAATTCTGCATATTCTGGCATTAGAAATCAAAGATAAATAAATTACTAAAGAACGTGTAGTGAACTCCTAGTAAAACTTTTCTTCTTTGATTAAATTGCAATAATGCTAATGTATATGAGAAAAAGGAATTTTTTGTCACCTCCTTAAAAAAATTAAAATTTTAAATGATTAATAGGATTTAGGGAATGAAATCACCCTTATGTATTAACTGTCCATGTTTCAGGACTCTAGCTAATTTTTTTTTTAGTTAAAAGAGAAGCACACTTACAAACTTTATTTCAATATCATAAATTTGATTAATAAATGTCTAAAATTTGAAAACTGTTTTTTTGCTTTTTCATTTTTAGTTCTTCCATTACCTTTGAAGAAAAAGCAAAGTTTGGAGAGTTATGTCAGTGTGAAATCGGTAGGCTCTGGTTTTCACGCTGTGTAAATAGTCAAGTATGTTCTCATTTTTGTTTGTTTTTATTGCTGTTAATATTGATGCCGTAGCAAATTTCATTGATGGTTTTTTTTCCCCTCTATTTTAGAGAGTCCACAACAAATTAGTAAAAGAATCAACATTTTTTAGCTTGGTTCAGTATTTTGCTATAGTTTTGTTTGAATGTTCAGAAGCTGATGACTTTTCACCTGCAAAATCATTGATGAATATGTGTTTCACATTTTATTATGAAAGTAAGTGCATTTTCAGGTTTTAAAATTGACTGTGTTTCATTTCATTCTTTTTTTTTAATTTCATTTTTTACTTGTTTTGTTTCATTTTAATTTAATCTAATTTTGTCATAATACAAAAAATCATTTGATCTTAAACTGCATTGTAACTGTCCAAGAACAAACATTTTTCAGCTTTTTATAAATCATCAAATTTTGATCAAAATCTTTTTCCCTTTAAAACGTTCGAAATTTTGGGATGTTTCGCACGCTTCTCAAAGTTTTACTATATTGACCATTTTGAAATTATTATATCTGTTAGAAATAAAATTTATTATTGAACAGTAGAAATCATTTAAATAACTATGAAATATAGAATAATTAAATTTACATCACCTTACTTTAAATCTGCTATAATGGGTTTCACCTTTCAAAATAATTTAGCAAAATTGTACTACATAGATTAATTGAAAATACATTGAGTCTTTTATGACTAATTTAAAATAAACCTACAATATTTTAAATTAGTCATATTAATCAAATGATCATACATTTAATAAGAATTCAAATAAGTATTAAAAATTCAATAAACAATTAAAAAGCAACCTTATGTCTCATAAAATTGCAATATATAATATGATCTTAAATGCATCACATCTGTTAGTTCTAATTATAATAATTCGAATAATTAAACAGCTAAAAGTCTTTAAGACAAATTAAAAAAACAATAAAATATCTTATATTTTTCAAAATTATATCACACAAAGCAATTGTGAAGGCAAAACTAATTTTAAATATCTAAAATATAAATAACTTGTATGATTAAACAGTTAATAAACTTTAAAATAAATTTTAGAGGGAAGTTGTTACAATAAATAAGTAAAAAAATTTCCTTTTGTGAAAAATGAAACTATGAAGTTATCACTAACACTTTGTGTTTCTTTTTAGGTACTCACTTAAAATAAGTAAATGATTAAACAGCTGAAAATTTTTTAAATACATTTTAACTATAAAATAAAAAAATGAAAGGGATCTTTCTTTAAATCAGCTATCAAAGAAAATAAGAAACAAAAAAAAAGCACGATTAGATTTTTACCATCAGAAATATATAAATTTAGAGATGAAGGATAACAATAAAACTGTTAATGTTGCAACATCTGTAATGTATTGAAATTTCTGTCCCTAATGATGATTTCAAAGAACCCAAATAAGGAATTTTTTTTTTAAAAAGTGTTTTAATGAAAAATACATCAAATAAGTGTTAAAAATTTTTTGAAAAGTGTTAAAAAAAAGGAAAGAAAAAAAAAACATGTAAAACAAATATAAATTTTCTTTTTCTTTCTGAATCTGCTACATATTTTATCCTATAAACAAAAAAATGTAGCAGATTCAGAAAAAAAAATTCAGTCAAATTAACAAATCACAACCAAAAGAGTAAAAAAATTTTTTGGTTTTCTACTATTTCTGGCTATCACACTCTAAGCGAAAAAATTGAAAAAGTTGATAGTACTCATAGTTAAAAACTCAATGAACTGTAGTATTTAGAAATAGAATTTATGATTTAATCAACTGACAATTAGTCTGCCCCCCCCCTGCCCAAAAAAGTGATTGAACATTTAAAATTTATAAATTAGTAGAATTAATTTCAGAAAACTTAATTTTCAAAAATGAAGGATTTTTGTCAAATATTTTTTTATTATGGTATTCCTTGTATTGCATATGCTGATGATAGAGTTAATGTCAAAGACAAATATGGAGAAACTATCTCTGTAATTATGAATGATGCACTTCTAGAGGTAGCAAGACAGTGTTCTGAATTCGGCTTATCAGTTAATCCTTAGGTAAGTCTTGTTGCTTTCACTGGGAAAAAGCACCTTAATATTGGTGATGTGTATTTCCTTGATCATATGTTGGAACTCACTGAGAAAGTCCAGTTTTGGGGTGTTCTCTTTGACTCTAAACTTAACTGGGGTCATCACTTTGAATACTGTGTTTGCAGTACCAATATAGTTTTTTGGTCCTCTAGGAATGCTATTGATAAAATATGGGGTTTATACCCTAAGATAATTCTGGTTTTACACAATGATCATTAGTCCTATTGTCACATATGGAGCCATTGTCTGGTCTAGCATTAAATTGAGCTCCATCAGATCTGGTGTTAACAGACTACAAAGAATGTTCTGTGTAGCCTTTGTCTGACTGTCTTGGGACCACTCTCACGGATGTACTCGAGAGCTGACTTGGGCTTCTGCTATATTTGCGCATCGAAGCTGAAGTCCTGACAAGCATAAAACGTTTTATGTATCTTGGATTATGGAAGGAATAGTCTAAACACTTGTCATGGTTACCCCCTATATTTTGGTTAACAGAAGTCTGAATCCGTTGAAAGAAAGTTTTGTTTATTCAGAGAAAGTACGTTTTTGTATCTGATTTCGTAACTTATGATATCGTCTGACCAATTTATTAGCATATTTGATGTGAGGCTCTCTAACCATTAAGACTGACTCCTAGAACTTGAAGATCCGATCATTAGATTAAAATTTGTTCTGGTAGGCCTGCTTTTTTTTGCGCACTGTACCTCTTTAATTATGTGGTAATGATTTGATTATGACTAAATAATAAAAATATATGCTGCTAATTTTTGTAGTTAAGGGAAAAACTTCCTATACTCATTTTATTTTATCATACTATTATATATTTTTTCTTAAATAGCATCTTAATAATTTAGAAGTTTAATTGCCACGTTAACAATTTGTGTGCATAAAATGTATGTTACATGACATATTATTTAGGATGTCGAGATGGAAGACCACCTTCTCGAGAGTATCTATTTAATTATCTGAGGGATCAGCCTATTTGGAGATCCGTTCGATTCTGGAATGCAGCCTTTTTTGATGCTGTTCAATGTGAGAGAGCCAATCGACGCATTCCCACGAGGTGACTCCTTTAAATTGATTCTAATTTTTAAAAGAATTTTTACTAATTAAGAATTTTAAAAGAAAGTTTACTGCCACAAGACAAAATGTTTTGCAAAATCCTCAAATGCTCATGTGGCTCAAATGTATGTGCGTACAACAAAGCACCATTTGTATGTTTCTCCTTTATGCGTTGTTTCCCTGCAGTTCCATTTCATTTTTTATCTATTCAATGTTAAAATAGTTTATTTATAGGAGGAGGAAAAATATAAAATATTAGTTGTCTTTTTCTCTTTTTTTGTCATTTTCTTTAAGGATATAAACATTTGGTCTTAATTCAAGAAACTCTAAATAAGCCTCTAAAAAGGAACTTTTTCCCTAGGATTATTTTACTTCAATGTCTACCTGTTCGGAAAGAATTTTATATATTTGTGTACTCAAGCAGTGAATTTTCAGTTTGATTTTTTTTTTCTCCACATTTGAAACATAAGTTTTATGTTCACTCTTAATTACTCTTACCTTTGTATCTATATCATTGAGTGTCAAATTAAAAATTTGATTATTTTTTTATTGCATAAATTATTATTATTTTAATACATTTCTATTTGTTTAATTTTCAGTCATACGTCTTTTCATATATTTGTCGATTGACATTGGTAATTGACTTTTCCAAAATTGTTGCAAATTTAAAATTAACAGATAAATAAATCTGTATAAAAAAATCTAACTGAGAACTGAATTTGAAATTTTATATCAAAAGAATATATATATGCCATATTGAGCTGACGAAAGTTTGATTTTCAATTTATTTGACGTATTTATTTTTGAAAAAAAAAACAAAACAAAAAACAATTTTTCAAAAGGACTGCGTATATGAATTTTACTATTTCAATTACTAAATAGCAAATAAGCTAGTGAATGAAATTGAAAACAGTTTAGCCAGTAAATGAAGATTAAATAAAGTAATGAATATGAAAACATTAGGTTCCGTAATAAAAAATTGTTTGTGTATTATTACTTTCTTTAACGAGCTTCCATAAATACAGGTTAATTTAGTTTTTCAAGAAGTTTCATTTTGAGAAGTTGAGTTTTTACTGCATTTTGTGAAAAACTGATTTCAAACAAATTGAGAAAAGTAATTTTTCTTCAATGAATTTTCAGTTACTTATAATTTCTCACAAGCGCTTGTTATTAAAAACCTTTCAATAAATAGTGTTTTGAAATGTCTTTAGAATGAAAAACAAAAAAAGCTTTCGGATGATAGGGTTTATATTGTCTGAGGAGCATCAATTCAGTAAATGCCGTAAGTTCTTTCACCAGCAATTATTACTTTTGCTGATCTTTCTAAAAATGGTTCTATCAATTAATTCTAGAATTTGTAATTATTTAATGTTTTTTTTCTCTAATTACTAAAGAACTTTAACATTTTATAGAGGTGATCTCAAGCAATATAGCAATGAAGATCTTATAGATGAAAAAAATTTTCAACGGAATATTGTCTTTGGTCAACTTGGGTAAGAATTATATTTTTTTTTTTCAATTCTTTAATTTGTTTATTCTAAAATTTGGTTTAGAGCTCAATAAATATTGTGTGTAAAAAAGAAATCATATTAAATTAAAATAACCTCTTTTTTTACAGTCAGCTTTCCAAAAAAAAATAAAGCTTCCTAAAATTAAATTTAAAATAAGATTTAGGGTTCGTACAGACTCCTTATACTCCTTAGAAACTCTTTGGAAATAAAAAAAAGTCTCCAAGGAGTATTTGGAACTACTTAGATTTCTAAATTAGTCCTTTGAAACTATTTAGATTATTGTGTTGCATAGATGAACTTACTAAGTCTGCTGATGAATTTGCTGTCCAAGCAGGGAAACAAAATTAAATGACTTAGCTATCAAAATCTATTAGTTTAAGAAAAACTTTAAAGGAGAAAAAATTGAATTGCATAACAGAATAAAATAACAGCAAATAAATTTTAATTTTACATGTTGCAAGCAAACTTAATGAGTTACTGTGATTTTTTTTTGTATTAAATGCCTCAGGTTTTTCTTATGTATTCAAATTTAAAAATATAAGATTGGTAGGTTTTTATGTTAATCTTTAACATCTGTACTTTAACAAGATTTATTAAAATATTTGAAACTGGAAAATGTATTTATGTGTAAAAGGGATAACTCTATTTTTCTTGATGAAGTTTGACAGTCAAAATTTATTTCAAAAGGGCTAGAAAAAAATATCTTATGCAAAATATAAATTTTTGTAAGTTCTTTATAGTAACTGCTTTTTAATTAAGTAAGCACTTTTTTTTTCTTTTTTTTATCTTTTACGCAAAGTTTTTAAATTTTGGACTCCTTGGATTTCTTCTTCTGATCTCTGTATGAACCCTTGAGATAGCTGGCTAAAATGATTTCTGCATTAAAAATTTAAATTTTATTACAATTTATGAAATTGTATGGCAAATTTTGTTTACTATTATAAGAATGTCTTTGCAAACAATAGGTAAATATATGGCAAGTTAAAGTCCACCAAGAGTAGAATTATAAAGCATACAACTCAAGTGTTTCTGAAAAATTTCTCTTTGTCTTGAAATTTTATTTTCTGATTGTTCTTTGTTGCTGACTATTTTGTAAAGTGTTATACAATAGAAATTTTCAAATCATTAATTTATGTATATTTGACTGAGTTTCTCTAACTTGTTAAGAAATACTGATTTATAAAAATATTTAAAAGTACAAAACACTGTAGGATTTTTTGGAATCAATGATTATTTTAATAGAATGTTGATTGCATTCAATTCATTATTTGTATAAAATGAAATAATGAATAAGTATATTAATTTCAATAAAATGGAATATTATTGTAAATTCAAAAACTACCAGGCAGAACCTCTTCTTTGAAAACTGGAAAAACAGAATGAAATTGAAGAATGAAGGTTTACCTTGTTAGATACTCCGTAGATTTGTTGAGAATTTAGATTTTGCATATTTGTTAAGAACTATATTGTTAAGGCGCATAAATATTTCTAATTTTTTGCTTGAATTCTTTTTGTCTTTATAAATTTGTGGGAATTTCCTTACTGTTTTCCTAGTTGCTTTGATATTCTTTATAAAAATTACTTTGTCTTAAATTTTAGCGTTTTGTATTGATATTCCTAGAATTTGTGTGCGTTTGGAACATTCATTTTCTATGAATACATTTGGGGTTTTTAAGATCATCGATTTGAAAAATAGAGATATTTAGATTTTCTATCTAAACCTACCTACCTTCTACATTACCTACATAGTTCAGACATATTGTGATTTATTATTTCATGTTGTGATATATTTATACCCTCATGATTTATTATTTCAAACTTATGAGAGATTCTGTCACTTTATTAACTCAATTAACAATTTGCATTTTAAAATTTTTTTGGCGATTCATTAGGAAATTGTACCTTTAAACTTATAAATTTTCAGCATATGTAGTATCAAATCTAGTTGGGCGGTTTAAAAAATGATCAATTCTAATCAACTCTACGTATAGAATTTTTAATTGCTGAATTAAGAGATCATTCACTAAATTTGCTTTTCTGAGCCGTGATGGCTCAGGGGATAGAGCGTTCGCCTTGCAATGAGGCGAACCGGGTTCGAATTCCCGTGATGGCTGGTTGATACAAATTCCGAATCCGGCATGCACTGACCACAGGCCTGATGTAAAATATCCTCAGTGGTAAACGGGTCATGAGTTAGAGTCCCCTTGCCATGGGAAATTTTCATGGTTTTCCTCTCCATTTAGATCAAGTACAGGTTAGATCCATCAAAAAGTCTTTCATGAAGGCAAATTTCTCCCAATGCTTGATCCAGAAGTTCCCTTGTCTTCTGGATTATGTTCAAAATGANAATCACTAGACTACAGAGTTGAGCATTAGTAGTCATAAATTCAAAATTGGGTCGCTTGTTCAACAACTGTTATAAATTGTAAATATAAATTACTCTACTACGAACTAACTTTGAATCTAGGAATTCTTTGAACATTTTTAAAAAAATTCAGGAAGCAATACGGTAAAAAAAATTTTTCTCTTGATTCCAGTTGAAGATGCTATTAAAGCAAAGATAAATGTTTTGGTTGCTCTAAATTTGATTTTTGTAACAGGACAGTGTTGGCAAAAAATACATTGCATATAGGTTTAATAAAGCAGGTTTCTGGGTATCCAACGAGGACATTGGAAGACAAAGAGTTGTTTGGTTGAATCTCAAGATCTCTTCTGGATTGTTTATATTGATTTGCATTCCACCACTTCACCGATTCTTGCAATATCTGATTTAAAATTTAATGAATATTGATTTGGACAAATAACCATTAATCAGCAACCAAATAGCAACATTTTTTTTAACAAAATCATTTATAAATATTGTGAGAACCTTGAAAAGACTAAATCTTTAATGGGGGAGATGTGGCATCAGCTGCGTTAAATGAAAATTTGTATAAATGTGTTTATGTTTTCGATTTTTTATCCATGAGGTTGTTATTAAAATGTGTTCATACATGATGTTACAGGGTTGCCACTCCCCAGGGAGAATAGAGAAAATACAGGAAATTAAATAATCATCTAAAATAACTGGGAAATGCAGAGAACTTTAAATTTATCCTTATAAACTGGGAAAATACGGGGAATATTTATTTATTTCTCTTTTACAAAATGTTGACCTCTCCAAGTGCAATATATGGGATATTTATAGATAGTTCAGCTATACCATGCTATTTCATTTGCTACTTTCTTTTTTTTTTATGTATGTCGAACTATTCCCCAGCAATTAAGCTATGCAAAGTTTTTCCAGCAATTAAAACTAGTATTACTTATCCTAATATAGCCATCTCACACATTTGCATAGTGATTGTGTTTTTCCTCTTAATATATTGTGTATAATATATATAGGGAAAAACACAGAAAACTATTTTCAACCCTGTGTTATACCATGCTCATCTATTTAATTATTAGTCAAAAGACACATAACCACTTACTTTCCCAGGAAGCCTCGGGTTCTGCAGAACACCATTTGAGAATCTCAGATCTATCTTACCGTACTGTAAAAAAGTTATAATAAGAGAATAAGGTCTATCAGAAACACTACATTAAAATTCTGCTCTATAATAAAAGCAGAATGGCAAAAATGGATAAAATTCTCTTAATTCTTAAAACAAAAAGTGTAGAAAAACTAAATAATTGACTTACCTGAATATAAACAAAGAAATCGATAGTACCTAACTCGTGATTCAGTATAAATAATGTAGTTTCAATTCTTCAAATTTCACTTTTTAACTTGTCTTCCAGAACATAAATTTGCAAGCTGTGTGAAAGTTATGTAGCTTAACAAATATGTGTAAAAACTTTTTCTTATAATGTATAGTAAATATTAATATTTTAGAATATTCTTTATTAAATCTATTCAAATTCTTGGAGAAAAAAATTTTTCGTTAAACGAATATTCGTTATATCTCTAATCTGATTTAATGCTCCTTTCCAAGAATAGTGGTGGAGTTAAAGCAGTACCTAGAATAAGTAAAACTATTAATGTTGAAATTGTATCTAAAGGTGAAATTGGCACATTTCTTTATATTTCATCAGTCAATTTTTGAACATATTTTTTAAACTTGATTTTACATTTTCTTACATCATGTGTTTTCCCCAATAGTCTGATGGAGATTGTAATGCAGTGAAACCTCTCGAGAGCGACCACCCTCCGTTCCACAGAAAAATGGTCATTGATGGAAGTTGGTAGTTCTTAGAGGTTGCCTGCGTTGACTTGGCATCATGAAAAAACAGATCTGTGAATTAAATTTAGCGTCTATAAAAATGACCCCTACTGATATAATGCGCAAAAAAAGTTTTTTTTTTTAAGGTTTGTTTTTGATTTTATATCAGAAAAATTAGTTTGATTTAATCTATGAGAAGAGGTTTGCTTAAAATGCTTGTTTTGTCTAAAAAATAACTTTTTTTTCTAATTTAGCTTTCTACTCTAGAAGTAAATAATTTGTAGCATCGTCTTTAATGCACACTGACTGCCACATGAGGTTGTATCATCAAAAAGAACTAAGGGTCTCACGCAGATATTTTGATTACATTTTAATCAACTTGCTTTGTTTAAAAAAAATTTCGATATTTTTTCGTGTTTCCTTATTTGACCCTTTCCGCACTTGATGCAGATGTTTGACCGGTTGATGGGAGAAGTTTTAATGATCTCATTTTAATCAACTTGCTTTGTTTAAAAAAAATTTCGATATTTTTTCGTGTTTCCTTATTTGACCCTTTCCGCACTTGATGCAGATGTTTGACCGGTTGATGGGAGAAGTTTTAATGATCTCTCCTAAAGATTTTATTCAATACAAAGTCTCTGGAAAAAATTCTGGGCCTCCCAAGAGTGGTCTTTCCTGGAGGTTTCACTCTATTGGGGCTCCACTGTAATTAACACTTCTTCAAAGCTGAAATTGCTTCTTTTTTTTCAGAACGTTTACATACAACATGTACGCATTTGGCTTAAGCAAAGAGTTTTCTTTGGAGTTCTTACAGAAGCAGTGTGCAATAGCGAGTTTATCTAAGGGTGAGTAGAGTCAACTAGAAATTCAAATGTTTTGACTATTAATTATAGTTGTAGATTAGTCAATGAATGGAAATAAGAGACTATCGAAAAACATTGTGGCTGTTTTGAAAGAGGTTTGGTTTCTTGATTAAATTGATGGCATACTTTATAAAAACATTAAAAAAGTTTTCTTACCTGAAAAGTTTAACACGAATGGCAGATTGAATCCACGAAGCTGGCGGAATTTGTTTGAGTGTCCTTCAATAACTACTAACCAAATTTTGTGCTTTTTTTTTAAAAAAGTTTATTGGGCTGTTTCATGGAAAATTGAAAAAATTGAGTATGAAGCTGTCAGTAGTACTGGAAGATGTAAGAAATTTTATATCATGACATTTCAATTTCATCCGTTACACATTGCAATATCACTTTATAAACTTCTTAAATGACAATACTTGTAAATTTTTGTACATTTCTGTCTTTCTAATGACAGTCATGATACTACTATTTTGTTTTCAAAAATTAAAATAAAAGAAGTGATGATAAACGTAATGAATGAGCATTAGGATATAATAAATATTGTTAGATGAAAGATAAAAAACGTTAAGACCACTATGCAAGACTTTACTAGTAATTATTTTACTGTTTTTAAATTATTGCAAATGAAATGAATAAAGTAACAAAATAAATTGCACTTTTACATTTCTAAAATGTTTTTATTTTATTTTCAGAACATATAGACCTCCTGAGAGAAAATATTGATCGCATGTACAGTGGCGATGCAAATAAAGAATCTTAACCCTGTATTTCTATTGAACTCGCGTTGCACTAGTTTTTTTTATTATTTTAATCCAGAGTTCCAGAGAGAGAGAGGAATACTCATTAGAACATATCTAAACGTGTTTTTCTCAAGTTATTTTATGTGAATATACCAAGATTAAACATAATTAATTTTCATTATCCTAAAATATTTTTTTGACTTATTTAGGCATGTACAGTATGCAGAATGAAAAAACTTAGACGTTAATAGGTTTTGATCTAATGATTGGATTTTCTTGATCTAAGATGCAATCTTTTTAAAGGTCTATTGCAAAATGGTAAAACTGACATTAAGGTTCTCAAACTTTTAATTGCTCTCTTGATCATAACTATTTGAATCATAACTCTTAGGAAGCGGCTATTCTCCATATTTTAAGAGTGAAATTCAAATTCATTAAAAATATATATTTGTTTAAGGGAAGTATTTTCTTGTGTTTGATTTTTTAACTTTATATATCATTTACACAAAATAATTACTTAGTCCTTTGAATAAATACATTTTCATCTGAAAACATGAAAATCCAATCACTAAATCAATATATAGGTTAATATAAAGGTGAACCCTTCTTCATAATGGGCACTGTACTCTACTTATACAGGGTGTGTAGCATTTTTAAAAAGTGCGCTTATTTTTGATTTATGTTTTTTAAAAGCCCTTATATGTGCTTTTTTTATTCAAGACTTGTAAAAAGTCTTTAATTTTCTGTCTTTAAAAAAGAGGTTTTTTCTTTACCGTGTCGCTTGTCTCTCTAAATTACAAAAAATACATGATTTTTCTCTACAATATTTCGCTGATCCTATTTATGATTTTTTGTTTTGAAAAGAGATTAAAAATATTTTTTGGGTGCTTAAAAAGTACTTAAGGTGCTTATTTTTTGTTGAAAAATCTGGCTATGCACCCTGTTATAAAGTGCTCAAAAAATAACTTTTTCATTTATATCCTTAAATTAAAGCAAAGAAATTTTTTTTTCCTTTTAGATTTTGATTTACTGTACCAAAAATTGCATTTTGTGCAATTATAATTTTTGAAGTGTGGTTGAGTGTTAAATTGTCTTTTTATAATAATGTGGTTTTGTTTTGTAAGTAAGAGATAACATATGAGCCATTCCATGCCAATCATACCTCTTTTTTTGTTGATATTTTGATTTAAAAAATATATGTTGAATACTGAATAGAAATCAGATTTCCACATAAAAATGCATCTCAAACTAAAAACATTTCTTGTTTATTTTCCCAGATGTCAGTCTGCTGCTGAAAAGAATGCTCTTTATTTTAAAGAATGCTGGAGCACCAATTAAATTTTATAAAAGTTTTNTTTTTTTTTTTTTTTTTTTTTTTTTTTTTTTTTTTTTTTTTTTTTTTTAAGTTTGAAATTAAATACATTATTTTAATAATACACAATATTTTATAAATAAAAAGCTTAAATACAATTGTACCTAAAAACTAGGTAAAACTAAAACTTCGTTTTTGAGCATCTTTTTATTTATAATTATTTAAAGAATTTTTTTATTTAATATGTATGTATTTGCATAGTTTCTAAGGTCACATACTAAATACAGTTATGCTTCAGTAAATTTTTTTATGTAGTTTTAACGAAGAATTGTTTTTTATATTTTTTATTGATAAATTAGTCTGTTAGACTGGAATTTCATTTATTCGTACTACATTAGTACTCAGTTTATAATGAGACCAAATAATATTCTTCTTTTTTTTTTAAAAAAAAAAAAAAGTTAGGCTTGTATTGTTTTTGTCTCCTTTTTCTCAAAATCCTAAAATTATATAATGCTTTTAAAACATGCTTAGAATCTATTATGTTTTGAAGAATGCACTATCTTCTTATACAACTGCTATGCAAAAAATCTGTCATGTCTTTTAACTATTTTAAGATTATTGTGTGTCTTTCTCTATTCTTCAGATTTTTTTTCTTAAAAATGTTTGCAGGTGTTTTCAAGCGTGTTTAATGTCTTTTATAACATGATATAATTTCATGTTTTGTTAAATTCTATGACAAATGCATAGTGAAAAGTTTTCAAACCAATTTGCTTAAACCTCCTTAAAATTATCTGTATATATTTAAGTTCTTAATTCAACTGAAATTTTTTTGTGTGAATTGGTGGAATTGCTAGGCAAATTCTTAGCAATCAAACCGCTTAGACTTATCATTTATTTTTACTAGACATCGCTGATTGGTATGTCTTAACACATATCCTTCAGTATGTTTGTCATTTGATCAGCCATATGATAAAAATGAGTGTATAGCAGTCAATAGTTTATTATCAAAAATTGTCCATTTGGTCAGTGACAGGGCAAATAATGTCAGACAAATATGTGTTAAACTTTTATAAAGCAGTGGGAAGCTATTCCCCCTCCCTAGGCGATTTGTATTTATGTAAAATGTGGTAACAGTGAAGGGGTGAGAGAGTTCAAGAAGAGAGGCTAACACTGGAGAACTTGCTCGTTATGCATTTGATCATTTCTCATAGAGTTAATTTGTATCTATAAACATGGCATTTATAAATTAGGTTATTTATAAGCACAGAAGTTAGAGTTTATAGCCAATACTTTACAGAAAGAAAAACTTTAAAAATCCCTCTACCAAAATAATAGTTTTAAAAGTCAAATGAATTTCAGTATAACAATATTATAAAAAATGGCCTTGTAAAGAGTTAAGAGAGAAATCACAGAAATAAGCATCTGACTATAGTTTGAATAAAAGCTAACTTAAAGGTATTCTTAATATTATGTGTTAATATGTATAGTTTATTGTTTGGGGCCTTCCATGATGTTCTGTGATATTTTATCATCTCTGAATTTTGTCGATTTATTGGGAAAAAACAATAATTTGTGTAATAACCTTTTTCACTTGAAAATTGAGAGTTATTATTTTGTAATTGTGAGAAAATAATTTCAGACACTTAGGATATAATTTAACTTTTACTAATAATAATCAGTTGTATTGCTATATATTTTGATATAAAAAAAGAATTAGATTTAAAGTAGTTTATAAATACATACTTAATACATTCAATAGAATTGCTTATATTGAGAATTTGTAACATACTGTATAAAGTTTTTTTCATTTTACTTATTTATGTTATGAAAATATATTTGGTACTTTTTTAATCAAGTACTATTATGTACCAATTTTATTATAAAAAAATTTTTCGGTTTGAAAGATGATTAATTCTATGGCACTACTAATGGTGTAAATTAATTGTTAAAGAGTCATTTTCCAATTTCTCTTAAAAATACTGTCTTAGTTAAAAACATGCATTTGTATTAAAAATTACACATTATAGTTGATATGTTAATGTTTAGAAAATCGTTTAAAGTCCTTTTTAAAATAAAAAACTGAGAGCAAGCAGTAAGGCATTTCTTTAAAGATTCTGCATTTCAATCATTTTTTTTTATTTTTCTGTATTAAATTTTACTGTTTTAAATATGCATAATGTATTAGCAATACAAATACAAAAAAGAAAGTTAGTTTTTCTTTAATTAAACTTTTTGTTTCATTTATTTATCTTTTCCAAATATTCTCAAACTGCTTGCCACGGTACTATTAAGACCATAAAATTTGCTTATTAACTACAGATGGCTCAGGTGGGGTTAGGACCTTCAAAAATAAGTCAAAACTTATCTCCACTGTTAATATCAAACTTTATTTCATAATTTGAAATGTTAAGTAATGAGCATCAAGCTCATCCATTGAATGGGAGTTATTATATTTTCTCTTATACTATTTGTTCTTATTATTTGTACTTATTATAGGTATGGGATATTGATGACCTAATAATTCTTAAGAAATGAAACAAAGAAAAGACTCTAAAAGCCATTAAAAATAACCTTAAAATAAAAAAAATAAGGCCCTTAGTTTTTAAAAACATATTTTATTTTAACGTTTTTTTTTAATTTTAAATCTTAACTTTTGTTTATAAATTTCGAAAAAAAAATTGTGATTAAAATAAGTAAAAATATTTATGGCTAAAATAAAATATAGATAAATACATGATAAAGATAAATAAGAATGCATTACTATTTTCAAGAACATCAGAACTATACAAGTATATCAAATGTTTTTGAATGTTCTTAAAACTAAAAGATTACCTATTGTCAAAAAGCAAATTCTTTTATCTTAAAAACGCCAACACTTGTTATTGGAGAATGTTTAAAATAACAAGATTCAAATTAAACTTTTCAATTATTTATAAAGAAAAATTCACCAGCAGTATGCTTTTGAAAGGAAAAATATTTAATTTTTTAAAAAAAGTGATTAATAAAGGGTAGAAAATAGACCAACATAAAAACCACAACACCTAATAAATATATAAATAAAACCTAAGTGCAGGAAAAAAGATTATTAGTGATGTCTTCTTTTTAATTGCAATCAAAGTACTTTATCATTATTATTTGTATTAACAATGTTTATTTTCTTAAAACTTTCTTGGATTCTGTTTCTTAGCCCTGCACATGTGAAACAAACGTTTTATGCATGTACTAAATATTTTATTCCAGACAAATAAAGACTGGAGTGCTATGAAACAATTTAAAAATCTGAGTGCTGTAATTTGTAGAGATTTTAGAGCCCATTGTCTAGTCTGTTGCCAGTTAATTTATGTTTCTGAATAAACCCCGTGGCAGAATCGTTGTGACAGGGGGACATTGTCTCAGAGCATTACTGAGTTCTTGCAAAAGAATTTTTCCATTGGGCAATAAAAAATTTTGCTTTTCTTTTGTGCAGCAATTTTCGAAAGATTTTACCTTTTCTTCAGAATTATATTCAAAAGATGCCTTTCTCACACTTCAGAGTGGGGGGAAAAATACTCGTGACTTTTCTCTTCTCATTTCAGAATATTGAGAAATAAAGAATAATGAAGTAAAAACTTTGGTTTTCTTTTTTGTGGAAATTTTCGGTCCAATTTTTCATGCAGTTATTACTAAAGATTTCTGCATAGCTTTTAAAATCCGATATTATTTATCACAATGCCTAAATCTCGAAAAGAAAACACACATTTAGTAACCCCTTTTTGAAGAGTCTGATTCGCGTGATTTTGTCATCTATTTTTTTTTATCGGCAGTTACTGCTACAGGTTTTGCGATTTTATTTTTTTAATGTGATAATGAATTATAAAAAAAGGAAATAATTAGTGTGTTATCTTTCGACAAAATGAAGAATGTCTCCCATAATATTAGAATAAAGAAAATCACATATTCAATTAAAAAGATTATTTTATTTGA